TCACAAGTTGGATTCCCTTATTTATCAAGCGAGCGGTCCATAATAGCGTTGGGGCGCGCTCTGCCACGTACCGACGATCGCGGCGATCGCCGAGGTCGCCGCGATCGCCGCTGCTGTCGCGAAGTATGAACGCTGCCTTAGGCTCAGGCCACGCCCATTTAGGACATGAACTCGACAATTCAGCAATTTGTTGAGCCCGATAGAAGCCGTTGAAAAGCAGCGATTGGGGGATTCTGTTAAGTGAAACGATACTGAAGGATAACAGCAGCTTCACTAGGCATATTTACCGCGGTGAGGTATACCGCGCGTGCGATGATGGTGACCTGACCCCTCGGAGGACGTCCACGACTCTGCAGAGTATCTTCAATGCTTCGACGGTAGTTAAATCAAGGGTGTCACATGATGGGAAGCTGGCAATGACGTTTTTCGGAAATTTTTTCGACCACCCATTTCTATATTGTAATTTCTAGAGTTGCATTATCCATTAATTGAATGACTCGTCTAGAAATTGTCTATGATACGACATTTCGTGGATATCCGATTGGGTAGCGAAATAGTTGATGTTGGTATTCCTGACAGTCTAATCGTCGAGACATTTGAGATGAAGCAGACATTGGCTGCGGTGCTTATAAATTGCAAGGTGTGTCCTTTGAATTGAATAACAGTTGTGTTTACAGTCGTCATTTCGAATCCTAAGGATTATGCAATTTTTTTTCACTACTCGTCAGGCAGCGTTCAGACTTGTCGCGCTTCAGTTGTCACACTTCAGTTGTCGCTGTCGCTTGTAATTGAGCACGCTACAATCACACTCCTTATCCCTGAGCCAGAGTAGGCGTGGCATTTGAACATGGCACGGTTGGTTACTCGTGGAATATTCCAGTCTGGGACAACTGTCATCTTGTTCTGTGTTGGACAGAGACACGACAACAATTGTGTCAAGATGAAAATATCACCAGAAGCGTAGACTCCTTCAGGTTAAGTTGAAGCATGCAGCCGCGCCTACTAGATCTCAGGGATTTTAAGCATACAAGCGCGCTCTAATCGTACCAGACCTCATTTTCTCTTTATGCTCCAGTATTCAACACCTTTTTTAACTG